GAAGTGCCGTAGCCTGTGCCTTTCCTGACACCGAACCACTACCATGCTCGTGGTAAGTCAATATCAGGTCAATGCGGAACTTGTAGTAAGTCGATGTCGAACTAGCACCGGACGTGAAACAAATCTCCGTAAAGTCCGTGACGGTCCTGAAACCGAAATAAATAGCCGTAGCGGTATCGTAGCGGAAATAAGGCGTCATGGTTGTGCCGATCCTGAAATAAAATGCCGCGTTTGCAGCGAACCTGAGATAAACTGCCGCCAAGGTACCGAACCTGAAACAAATCGTCGTAGTGGTCCCGGACCTGACAATGGATCACGGTAGTCACATAGAAGCTGAGATAAATGGTCGTAGCGGCCTCAGACGCAGGGATAAACCTCCACAGTCGTCTCGAATTCGAAATAAACGGCCATACCGGTGCCGAACTTTGAAATAGGCCGCTGAAATGGTCCTCACCCTTCCAATAAATCAGACTGATGACGTAGCGGGAATCACGGTGAAGGTCCGAACCCGAAGTAAAATGCCCCGATGCCGCCGAAACTGAAATATCCCGCCGAGGTTGCCCTGAACCTGATACTGATGTGTCCGGACCAGAAAATAAGCGGCCGTTGTAGGGGCCCCAAGCCCGAGACAACGTGACGCCTGCCCCATACCGACTCCGAAGCCCGTCAGATACCGTAAGATGCCGCCACTCCATAACAATCCGAGCCTCTTTAAGTCACGTATCTGTTCCGAGCCAAACACCATACATACTGTCGGTCCGAAGTAGCTCTATTCCACGTCGTCTATGCGAACATCCTTGGACTGCTCAGTGAGGTTAGTTGTCAGGCAGATCGGGAAGGCGACACAAAAAATTCTCGATCATCAGGGGTTAGTGAAAAAAAGTTAGAGTTCAGAGTTTCTGATCAAATTTGGGTTCTGAGCTGATGGTGGGTAATCCAAGCAGGATCAGGCCAGGCATCGCGTAATCATTAGTTCCTGTCTGTCTCATCAGTTTTAATCTTTCCCCCCTTTTCTTAATTCTAGAGTCCGAAATAACAGAATATTCGTGAGCTCACCAAAAATAAATCCCGAGGGAGTCTTAATTAAATAGCCGAAATTCTTTTGTTTCTCCTCCTTTTTATCATTTTAAATGTTTTTTTTCTTTATTTTTGATTTCATTACCGGTAACATAAAATAACGAGGGATTTTCCCTAAAATTTAGATGCCTTGAAAAAATAAGGAAATTAAAGGATATCACTTTTTTTCTCCTTCCTCCCACTGTTCTTAATCTTTTCTCCCATTTTTAATTTCGGTACTAAAATAGATAAAATTTTGAGGCCCTATTTCGGGCCTGGTCATATGATACAAAAACGTGGCGGCGAGCTCAATTCCTGCGATGCCCCCCCGCGGCCGGCCATCCTAGGTCTAACCTCGGAACGGGCGGAAATGATGGTCCCTAGATATGTCGGGAGCAGCTACCCATTTTGTCATCTTTGAGGGTTACTCGTAAGGTTCAGTGCGCCCAAAATCAGCGGTGCCATGAGCCCCCCTAATTTTTCCTGTCCAGTCAACCCGGAGCTCCGTCAAAACAAGGACTTGTCTTCGAGCCTAAGCCCCAAAGCCGCAAATTTTAGGCGGCGCACTGCTTGTGACCGCCTAACAGTTAGCCCGGACCACTTCTCGATGCCCCCGTCGAGCCCTATCCACCTACGTCAGACGAAGCGGACGAGCTTCAGGGTGATGGCCCGTAAAGGGCGCCCACGTCGGCGTTCAATTGTCTTATGTTTCAGTCTGTTTTGAGTTCTAGGGCTAAGTAGATGTTTTGTGACTTTCTGTCTCCGTCGGGTTCTCGGCCTTGGTAGGATCCTCTTGTTCTTCTGTCGTTGGCCCGAGAAGGGTGTCGTCCCGCCAGTTTGTCTAATGCGGACTCTCCGTCTGGCCCTCTTGAGCACGAATAACCATTTCTTCTCTTTTCCTAGAGCTAACCATTTGACCTTTCTTTTCTCTATTCTTTTTCTCTTCTTGGAACTTTCGCCTGCCTCGAATCGTCTCAAGGGAGCTCCATCCTCCATTTTAGCCTTCCCCTTTCCTTTGGGGCCCGTCAGGGATAAGGTGGGTGTAGGCCTGGGTCTAAACAGTTTTAACCTAGCACCCGCCACTGGGTCTTTCCACTTGGATCTGTCCAATTCTGCTATCATATACGCACCGTTGTCGAGTGCCTCAACCACTCTGTAAGGTCCCATCCATCTGTTGGCGAGTTTTCCGGTCCAGGTCCTTTCCAGTGCTGCGTCGTAGAGAAGGACCATATCTCCTACACTCACCCTCTCTTTCCTGATTCTCACGTTCTTATCCCATCTCTCCTTACCTTTGTCCCTTTCTACTGCCAGATGATCTGCCGCTGTCGTAAGGTTATCTTCCAAACCGTAGGCTATCTGTCTTATTCGGGCAACTATGAGTTCCTCTCTGGACATCTCCTCCGCCCAGTCGACGGTTGTCCAACTGTCGACGTGAAACTCTATGGGGAGTGAACAATGCCGCCCAAACCACAAGGTGTATGGTGGGTATCCGGTACTAGCCCGGACCGTGACGTTGTCCGCCCATATCGCGTATCGAAAATATCGTGGCCAATCACTGTCCTTACCCTTGCACCACTTGGACAGTGACGCTATCAGAGTCTGGTGGCCCCTCTCTACTGGGGAGTTCGACTGTGGGTGATAGGCGGTGGCTATCGAAACTCTCGCCCCGGCTCTCTTGAACACACTCTGAACCTCTTCGGCTAGAAACTCCGCCCCTCTGTCCATTACTATCTTGCTGACACAACCATACCTAGATAAGTACTCCAGGACAAAGTTCTTCACTTCTTTTGCCGTCTTACTCCTGATAGGTCTACTGTCCACGAACCCAGTGAAATCGTCACGTATGTTAACAACATAGTTCATATTGCCTACTCCTTTCGGCATCTTCACCAGATCGATGTGTACCTTCTCTCCCGGTCTGGTGGGATAGGATGGATGTAGAGACTCTTTGTATTTCACAAGAGCTCTCTTCTAGTATTCCTCGCAGGTCATACAGTACCTCTCGACGTACTTATACTGTCCTTCCCACCAGTACAACCTGCGTACTTTTTCGTAGGTTCCTTTGACTCCCCTGTGTCCTCCAACTACCCCGTCGTGAAGCTCCGCAACTATCGTCTGTCTCTCCTCACGGTCACAGACTACTCGTAAGGGCATCCCCGAGCCAACCGGCCTTCGAAATAGATGGCCTGCTCTGAGGCAGTATTGCGTCGCTTGTCTCCGGATATCTGATTCTTGACTCTCCTCTCCTGACAGGTGTAGCCCGATCGTTCGGTACTTGCCCTCGTAAAGGTTAACCATAAATCGTTTGGCGTGTCTCGGCTCTGCCAATGTCAGGGCCCCAGCTACTATCGGGCGCTCGACCTCAAGAGGGATCCGCGAAAGCCCATCTGCCACGACATTTTTAGTGCCAGATATCCTCTCAACTGCGTAATCATATAGCCGAATCCGTATCAGCCATCGAGCAATGGTCGGGTCCGGCAGGCTAAAGTACTTCTGGAGGACAGAGGCAACCGCTGTGGGATCTACTCTCAAGATGAACCGACGCCCATAGATATAGTGTCTGAACGTATCCAAACACCGCAGAACGACTAACACTTCCTTCTTGAATTGACTGTAGTTTCGTTCTGCCGTATTAAGTGTCCTACTCTAAAATCTTAACGGTCTTTCCTTCCCTTCAGTGTCCTTCTGAGACAACAGCCCTCCAACTGAAAAGGGTCCTGCATCCGTGGATACTATGAAGGGTCTCTCGGCCTCATCGTCAAAGAATGGCATGCCCAGTACGCGTCCTCCCTCCTTAAATTCGTCCTTAAGCTCTTGCATAGCGAGTTTCTGTGAGGAATCCCAGTAGAATTTTTCAGTCTTTCGTAGGAGTAACCTCAATGGCTCAGCCTTCTCCGCATACCCCCGTACGAATATACGCCAGTAACCGACCACTCCCAGAAACTGCCGGACCTCGGTTGGACTATGTAACGGTGACGGCCAGTCAAGGAGTTTGTCTAACTTCGCCGGATCTGCTCGGCGTCCTCTCGAGTCGCAGATAAAGCCCAAGATCTTAATAGTCGAGACGACCCATCGGCTCTTTGTTCCACTGACCGTTAAATTCGCATCGTCCAGTTGCTCGAGTACCGCGTAAATATCTGTTAGGTGTTGCTCGACGAATCTTCTAACTCCAGGTACAACCTCTGTCTCATCCTTATCTACTGACCCTTTTATAGGAAAGTCATCCAGAAAAACTTCAACCTTATCAGGGATGAAGTCCTTGAGGACGGCTGCTATGGCTCTCTGAAAAACGGCCACCCCATTAGTCCAACCCATAGGGACAACCATCATCTGTATCAGTCCCAATGGCGTGTGCATAGCCGTGAGGTGCCTGTCCCTAGGATCAAGCGGTACCTCATCATAGCCTGAGAACAGATCACAGACCRAATAAATTGAMCTGCCTGCGGCGSCTTCAGCCAGTAAATCGGYGTGTGRCAMGGAGCCCACGTCTCGTATMGTCACCRYGTTGRCYTTYTGAASGTCYTGGATCCATCGGATCTTRCCATTCGGCTTTYGTAGGAAGAACCATCGATTTGCATAAGCGCTATCAGACGGTTCCGCAACATGGGAAACCATCTTTTCCTTCAGGAAAGCGATAACTTCTTCCTTCTCCTTCTGGGCGTATTTCCATCCTGCGCCATTCCAAGGAACATGTGGAATCATATAAATTCTTGCTCGCTTTGCGTATCGAGGGTCAACCCTACCGCGCTCCGCGTCGCTGAAGGCTATAGCCTTATCGCACGTCTTTAGGATCTCTATCACACGTTCTCACTCTTGTGGAGTCAGATTTCCATCTCCGATGTCCATCTCTGCTATTCTCTCTCTCGTTAGGCGTTGCGGCTTCTTCTTCTTTCTTTCTTCGATTTCCATTGCGATCTCCTCTTCCGATATCCCTTCTAGTGCAGATCGCTCGCGGCCCACAGCCGCTGGCTTAACTTTTTGTGCTACTCGCTTGTGTCGCTTGGGTAGCCCCCCATAGGGGGCCGTGCCCTTAAAAAAGACACAGATACCACCCCGCCAAATTCCTCATCTGTCTCCTTTGGGTACGAGTTGCCGTCCACTATTAGCCGACTCCCTAAATCTTCCACCTCCACGATCCGACCCTCCTCCTCTGTGAGCAGTGGTCCGTACTTCTTCTCACGAAATCGCACCGCGCGGCCGGAGATAGGTAATGACTTAATCTGATCACTGGGTCTTGCTCCCACTGCGAGAGCTGCTCTGTTCCTCGGGTCCCGAGGCTCCACCGTCCCAATCATAACCCGCGTCCCATCTAGCTTCTTAATGGACAATGTCTGGCTCCCATCCGGACGCTCTATCGTCACCGCATGCACGTGGCTCAACCACGTTCGTCCCAAGAGCAGATCGGAGCTGCAGTTCTTGACTGCAAAGACAGGCAGGGTCACTCGTACCCCTTGGACCTCTATGGCTGCCATATGACAAACCCCAACGATCTGTTGCTTTCTCCCATCAGTAGTCTCTATTTCAAATAGGTATGACCTATCGAGGTCCAGTCCAACCTGTACTGCCAGATCCTCGTCTATAATGACAGCCTCACTGCCGTTATCGATCACAGCATCTAGTACCGCTCCATCGTTTATGATCGTCTCCACGACCCCACTACCAAGTATGTAAAACTTATCTGGAGGCACACCTTCCATCCCATCAAGAAGGACTGTCGCCATGCGATCCGCTCTGGCAGTCACCCCCGTTACTGCTACAGTAGGAGCTTCCGCCTTAGGATCCCCCTGAGCCTCCTCTGATAGAAGTACGCGAGTCTTCCGCGTGATCATCTGTAACTCATCGTGAGCCAGCTTCGATGCCGCCAGGTTCTCCAGAATAGAGCATTGCATGGGTTGCCGAAGGGTCTGTCTCAGTGGCTCGACCGTGTCAATCTCATCCAGCGAACTCTTCATCAAGAACTTCTTTACTCCCCGCTTTCGCGGGCCCCGCTTTCACGGGGAAAGAATAACCTCCTCTCCATCAATCCGCTGTTCGCCGTCCTTCTCCGCCATCACGTAATCCGTGTCGGTCTTCTTCGATGTAGACCCTCTCGCGGACTTGGTAGCTGCCACCCTTATGGGTGTGGTCGCCATATCTCCTTCGAAAGTTATCTTGATGCTCTGGCTCCTAATCGGCTCCTTTCCTTTACTCGGCTTTACTCTCCTTGCTTCGACATTCTCCTTCATCTAGGGGAACATCGATACATCTCCCAGATCATCTGCCCATTTGACGTACTTGCGGTCATCAAGCACGACAAGGCCTTCATCTATTGCTCGTTTGAGATCCGGACAATCTCTCTTGATATGATCATCCCCCATGCAGTAAACACAAGAGTTCCTGGGTGTGGATGGCCTGTCGTCTGTGCCTCTGGAGGTCGAACCTCTCGCTGCTATCGGGTCAGGGGACTTCGGATACGGGTCAGCCGAAGCGCCATATCCCCCTCTCTCATTCCTGCCGCGCGAATCATTGCGGTGGTCTCCGTATCCGTATCGCCTCTGTGAATCATCGCGTCGGTCTCCTCGGTCGTACCTCCTGCGTGAATCATCACGTCGGTCTCATCGGTCGTACCGCCCGCGTGAATCATCGGTCCGATCTCCTCTCTCATATCTGCCGCCCCTGTATCCGTCTCGATCCGACCTCTCATATCTGTCGTCTCTATGCCCATCGTGGTCCGATCTCTCATATCTACCATCCCTGTATCCGTCTCGATCCGACCTTTCATATCTATCGTTTCTACGTCCATCGCGGTCCGACATCTCATATCTACCATCCCTGTATCCATCTCCCCGGCCCTGATCCGACTCCCATCGGCCTCGAGAGTCGTTTCTACCCCCGTTAGGCTCATAGCGAGGATTACGCGAGTAGTCATCCAGTCTCCTAGCACGCCCATACATCTCACGAGTCCTACGGTCCCGGTCTATCTCATCATCCCTACGTCGCCATGGCTCATCATCTCTCTCCCTTTCCCTCGTACGATAATCAGTCAGAATTCGAGGATTTCTATCCTCGACACTCCTCCAGGAATCAGTGTTCCTCCGGTCCCAGCGAAGTGAATAGGGCCCTCTGGGCTTGTCCCGGTATGCCGTGGCTCCTGTGTTGGTTACAATTTCTGTAACCTGTCTTGTCAATCCCTTTACCATGTCCCTTATCTCCTTCACTTCTTCGACCACGGCTTCATTCTTCTCCGACCAAGGATGGTCCTTGAAATCAGGACATCTATCGGTGGCATACTCCTTGTAGAGGGAGAAGTCACGCCTCCTCATCCCTCTCCACACCAAGTCCTTGTAGTCATCTGCCTCTGCCTTTATCGCGAGCTTTAGGACTTCTGGGAAGTCAAGCTTGTCGCGCGGAAGATCTCTAAGTATACTCTTTTGTCTACCTTTGGTGTCCGATGAAGATAGTACAGTGCTTGACCTCTGAGATCTTCCCCTTCTTCATCAGCACGTCGGAGATCTTCTGGAAACGCATCCCAAATGCCCGTACGCTCTCATCTTCATCTTGAGTCATTGTTTCAAGGTCCTTGATGGAATACTTGTTATCCTCCAATTCGTAAAGCTCAACGAGGTTCTTCTTGTACGTAGTCCATTTCCCATCCTTCGGTCGAGCTTCCTTAACTTCCCTACCGAGACTTGGGTCCACATTAAATAGGAAGTTCTCTATAATCTCTTTTTCTGACCACTGACTCCGACTTGCATGAAGCTCCCACTTCTCCAGATATTCTGTGATGCCACAACCCTTAAAAGTAGGTGGCTCAGAGGCCTTGTGCGTAATAATATAGCGATCCTTGCTCTCGTAAGGGACCGGATGCGACTCCCCTGTCTGGGGGGCGAAGACTCGCCTGGGCGGCACCCTGTCTCTATCTCCGTCCCTCCAATGGGAATCCCTCAAACTCTCTCGCCGGTCGTCTCTGGGCCTATCCGCCATGGTCTCCCTCCGCTCATACTCGGGGGAGCGTCGTCTCGTCGCTTCTCGTCGACCGCTCGAGGTTCCGTCTTCAGTGCCTCCTGCGGCTCCGTCACGACCGGCTCACCCATTGCGTCGGGCTCTCCGTCATTGGTTTGGTCGGCCCATCTCAGCAGTGTTTCCCGCCTAATTCGTTCCTTTAGATCCCTCAAAGCTCGGTCGGGTGATGTCCTGTACTCCTTTCCCACTTCGCCTGTGGTTGGTTGTGGCCCCATCGCGTCTGGTTCCATAGGCCACCTGAAGACGCAGTTAGGCACTCTCGCCGGGTGTTACAGCCTGGACCAGTTTCCTTGTCACGGTTCACGCTCGTCACCACCCCTAGCTCTCGACTGCCCTGATCACTACCACCAGTACTCGGTTCCGGTCGCAGATCTCGTGCTCTCCCTCTATCCCAAGAATCCCTGTGTCTAGGTAAACCTCCCCTTGGGGATCGGCTAACAAGGCCGCGCCTCTCCGAATTTGCAGTACACCCATGACGGGATCTCTATGCCTGCGGCAAATTGCAGTCCCAAGCCTAGCTAATGTCTCATGATCAGCCCCCCTCAAGAGCCTCCGTGCGTTTATCTCCGTCCTCCTTGGTAGGTTTCCTAGCCCGTCCTGAATCGGGTAGCCTGCCAAAGGAGGAAACTCTCATCCTGCTGCCATCCAGAAGTCGCTCGCTGACCTTTCTGACCTCCACTTTCTTTCCAAGAGCTTCGAACCTCTATTTCTCCTTCTTTAACTCCCAGACGGCTATGAGGTCATCTGTCTAGTACCTGCTGTTAGTCAGTGCTATAACCACTCGTAACCTCATCGCCGACAGCTCCAATAAGTCATAGAATGTCTCAAAGTCCTCCTTATCTCCACTATCCTCTATGGCCTCTAAAGTCTTTATCGATTCTTTCCAATACCGATCATGAGCAGCTAGCATCCTGAGTATTGCTCCGTCTGTTACAACTCTCCCCAGCTCTCTGACTTTCCCGGCTTCGCTTGTCTTCAACTTCTCAGCCTCCCTGGTCGTCTCGTACCATGCCCTTATCCGAGGCCGCCCTTCGAAGGGTGTTACTCGAAGTACATATTTTATCCTTCGTCCTCCTTCTATTCCAATCCAAAGTCCTGTCCCCCTGGCCTCACGCAGTGCACGGCGGACACACTCTGCCTCCTCAACTATGCACAGTCTGGTATGGAGCTGGAGCTCTACGATCACTAACACCAATGGTCCGTCCAGTCTCCCTACCACATGCAATGAGTACCGATCCGTCGTGTGTAGTGCAGTCCCGCTCATGTCCTGTCGCTACCTCCCTGCGTTACCTCGTCCTCCGTCGTCACGCCCTCTGCAGATCGCTCACTGGTTTCTTCGTGTGATACGCCTCTAGCCTTCACCCTCTCCAGAAAGTCTGATCTCCACACCTGGATAATCTCTCTTTCTTCCCTAAACAGACTCTCCAACTCTCTCGCCACGAGCCCAGCCCTACGCAACTTGTCCTCATCCTGGCACGACCAGATCTCCCTTAACTTGTTCCCCAACTCCTTTACCTGGTTCAAGAGTGGCTCTTTAATGCGCTCTCTCACTCTTTCGACTGCTTCACTCTCCTCTTCCATACTCAGTCTTTATCTTTTCCCATCTCATCCTCTCACCCTTGCTCTAGCCTCCGCTACCGTCTCGTCGTGGAAGTGCTCCACACACATATAGCCATGCAACCATATCATCACCTCATAGGAAATTGAGGTCTGGAAGGTCCCCCGCGCCAGTACATCAACTCTATGCTCGTGGATCAAATCTCTGGCTCGTTGCCGGCACTCCCTCGCCGTCAAGTCCTCTTCTACGTACGCTCGGAGAAGTACTGTCGCAGTGTACCCTGTGCTTACCAGTTGCTCTCCTACACGCATCACTGTGGCCGTCCTCCCCGACATTCCCTAAGATGCGGCCTCGAAGAAAAACCTCACATCCTCTAGCCCCACGTAATCGATCTTTGCTCATCTCCTGCAGTACCTAATCAGATCGATTGGCCTCAGACAGTCCACCCAGCTAGTAACGTCTATGATGTCGTCAAGCGTCTCTCTACTGGGTGCCCCCCACCTCACACAAATGGCGTAGTATACTTCCCGGAAACGGGGCGCTAAGCCCTCCCAGAGCGCGTAAAGTGTGTGGTCCACTGCTCTACTCAAACGTTCTATACTTTCATAGGTCTGCCCTATCACGAAGGTAGGAAGTCCGAATCGCCAATCCTCTTTCGGGTAGAGGGTCGGGTGCGGAGGACCGTATACCAAGCGGCTCCAACGCGTCCTCCCTCCAGAGAGTCTCGCTAGTTGCTGATTAACGATCACTCTGGCCAACGACTCGCTCCTCCACCAACTCCTGCTCGCCCCTGCGAGCGTAAGTCCTATCTCTAAATTGTGTGCTCTATCCGCTATCAGATGTCCGACCCCTTCTAGATCATGAGTCCTCTCGGGTCGTTCGTCTCGTAGTATCACTGTCCAAAGGAAGAGTCCCTCTGCGACCCACGTTCCGAAGTATCGTATCGGAACACGCTCTGTTCCTTCTAACGCCACAGGAAGTGGAATGTCGTATCCAACCGCCGTCTCTCTGGGTCCCACAAGCTTCCTCACGCTATACGATTCGGACTCTCGTGAGAGAACATAGGCTAACCAGGCTACCGAGTCACTCCTCATCACCCGTCCGACTCTCAATCAGCATCACTCTACTCCCTCCGATGCACCCTATCTCTCGACGTTGCTAACTCCTCAGACCGCTCTCCCACTCAGGTCCAGTATGGTCGAGTAGGTGTTGTGCGCTCTCCCGTCTGCTCCATGGAAGTAGATAGTAAACTCGACGTACCTCTGGCTCCTCCGTATCTCCAGGGCATGTTCCGTCATGAGTCCGATCTGTCGCTCAACAATCTCTAACGCCTCTCCTTCCCAGCCACCCGTCCTATCTCGTCACAGGGAAAGAGTCACCCTCAGTATATCCCGGTCTGCCATACTCTCCACTACTCCCTTCTCTAAACCTCACTCGGATATGTCCTACCTCTAGTCGT